GGCGACCCTTGGTGGGCCACTCCAGCCTCTGAGCCTCACATCTCCCTCTGCCTTTCTCTTCTGACACCTGACCACCCTAACCCAGGGTGATCTCATCGCTCATCTCAAGGTCCTTAATTTGGTTATACCCGCAAAGACTCTTACCCTGAGTATGGTCACATTCTGAGGTTGCCGGTGGACGCATCTCTTGGGGGCCCCATTCAGTCCACTCCAAGAGGCATGAGAAACGGGCACTGAGCACGTGGGCCCAGGGATGAGGGAGGAGGGAAAGAGGTGAGGCAGGGGTGGCAGTGGGGAAGGAAGTTTGGGCTGGAGAAGCCAGCCACCCCAGCTCTGCAAATGTGGGACCCTCTGACCTCCTCTTAGTTATTGAAACCAAGTCAGCTTGCAGCTGCCCAGACAGTCTCCCACCACCCCAGTCTCCCCATTGTCTCCCCAAGGCCAGGCCCCACGAACAGCCCATCCCCCTAGAGGGCTCCCAGGCCCCCCGTGCATCTCAGACCCCCAAGATCTCCAAGTCCAGGAGACGGAGGAAGCTGCCTGCCGCTCCTGCCCTGGCACAAGGGGGAGGGTGGGTCCCACAACCCCTCTGTCTGACACCCCACCTCACAGAGCTTCCTTTCCCCTCCCCCAGAGCCTCCCTCTTGGAGTCTGAGCCGTTTCCTCTGATGGGGCTCATTTCTGTCCTTGGCAGAAAATGCTCTCAGAGATAGAGAACTGTCAAGATGCACAGGTCAGAACCAGAATATAAAAACATCTGTACACACGCCGCGGTTTGCATGGCCCTTCCTCCTGCACTGTCTCGTTGGATCCTCAGTACTGCCTACAAGGGAGATACTAATCCCATTTTACAGATGAGGAGACTGAGGTTCTGAGAGGCTTGTCTTGCCTGAGTTTACACAGATCTGAGACTTGAACCCCAAACATCCAACTCCGGGTTTTCTTTTAATACTCTTCCCACCAACCCACCACACTGGGCTCACTCCCATGAACAATCCTGTCCATGCAAGGGCTTGAATCCTCTTAGGGACAGGGGATTCACCACCTAACAAAACAGTGAGTTCCGCGGACAGGCCCAAGTGTCAGGGAAGCTTCCTTCACTGCGGGAAAGCCCCTCCTTCCCCACGTCGCTCAGCCCCGCTGCTCAGTCTCCTCCAGGACACATCTCTCCATTTCTCACCCCCTTCTTGAAAACTGGGCCCTGGCTTCCAGGCCGTCCTCCCTAGGAGGACTTCTGGTATCCTGATGCCCAACCCACAATGGCAAGGACACAGGTCCTTGAGTCGTGAGGCAGCTGTGGAGGGTGACTTTGGCAGGTGTCCCCTGGCACTGTGCCCGCTCAGGCAGAACTAAGGTGAGGGCTGTGCCACTTCGGAGGTGGCAGTCTCTCTGCCCATGACCAGAATCTGAGGGTGAGGCCCAGTCATCTGGCCACCTCGGCCACCTCCAGCTGGAGCCACCTCGGGCACTCCTGGGCAGAGCAGCCACCCTGCTACAGCACAGTGGCAATGTCATACTTTGGAAAAGAAAACCGGCTAGCAGAGCGGCCGCGGAACAGCTGAGCTGAGTCACCACAGCCGGGCGGAGGCGGCTGCAGGGGCGGGTGGGGACCGCCCAGCGATGGAGGAAGGAGAAGGGGACCCCCCCCCAGCCCACCTGGCGCCCTCCCCTGGGCTTCTGGAGCTGTGGAGGGGCCAGGCACCTGGCAGGGGAGGCCTGGGGGTGGGGAGGACCAGCAGGGTTGTGCAGCCAGCTGGCCTCGGGCTCCATTCCCGCTTGGCCACCAACTGGCCCCAGGCCTCCGCCAGCCATGCAGTCTTTCTAAGCCTCAGTCTCCACTTCTGTCTAACAGGGGAATGGCTGCCTGCCCTGGCTACTGTGCCGATTACTGAAGGCCACGGTGCCAAGTGCTCAGGGCAGGGTCTGCCACACGCCGGGGGCTGAGCCAGGCCCCACTGACTCTGCTCACCACAGTCATGAATGAGAAGCCCTTAGCCTCCTGGGGCAGGATTCTGGGTTTGCCACCCTCTCTGCCCCAGGCCCTCCAGGTGGCCCCTGAGCACGATTCTGAGGCCACTGGTGCTCTGGGGCTGTCTCCTTGCTGACTTTCCCACACCTCCCCCTTCCATGGGCCCCAGTTCCCCAGAGGGTCCCGGGTCCAGTGGGCTGGGCTGGGCTTTGGGGCAGCCAGGTCTGGGGCAGGGGCAGGGGTCCCCTACTTCAGTCAGCATCCTGCCCAGCAGCCCTGCCCCCCTCGCCTGATGGGACCCTCGCTGTGTGGTTCCCGCTCTGGCACTGAGTCCCACTCTGCAGAGTGACCAGCAGAGTGACCTTGCCGGACACACAGCGCTTCCCTAACCAGACTGTGCTGGCATCCCCCCACCCTCACACCCTGGCAGGAGGCCCCACAGATGGCAGGACACCCCATCCTGCTGAAGCTCCTTCAGGTTCTGAGAGGAAAGAGACCAGCCCGAGGTCACCTGACCAGTGCCTTCAGGCCCTGCGTCCCCTTGGCGGTCTTACCAGGATTTCCTGAGCCCCCCATCCAGGAACCAGCACCACGGGCCTCACCCCAAACTGGGAGCCCCTGTGATCCCAGCCCCTCCCTCCAGCGAGCCTGGCTCTCCCCAGGCGGGTGCCTGCCTCTCCCGCCCCCACGCTGCCGCGGGAAGGGGTTCCTATGGCACCCCTTCCCCCGCACACACTTAGCTCACTGCAGCCCATCTGCCCCGAGACAGTGAGCAGCAGATGCCTCCGTGCACAGCGGTGCCTGAAGCTCAGCGGCCCCGCGCCTGCCGGACGCCGTGTGCATGCCAGCCAGGCGCGGGGGCTCACGCGACATTTGGCTGAGGCAGGGGCCCCGCATCTAAGGCAAGGCCAGGAGAAGTCAGGCCACCCAGAGAGCCTACCAGGGCTGGGGACCAGGGTGTCCGTGGCTGGAATCAGAGCTTCCCTTGCTCTGCCCCCCTACCCCCAGCTGCCTGGGAGGGAGTTGGCGGGTGTCCCCCTTGGGGGACAGAGTCCTGCAGCTCCCTGACCCCCTAGGGAAGGCCTGAAGTGTGGGGGTTGGTGGACCCCAAGGACCAACCCCATGAGGCATGCCACTGTACAAAGTGTGTGTGAAGGCTTGTGGAAGGGGGCTCAGAGCATCCAGCTCCTCCCCAAGGGTCAGACCCTCGGTCAGTACTCATGGGGCAGGCTCCTCACTGGCAGTCTGCCTTAGACCCCTGTTCTGCAGGGCCCCTGGCCTCATTCCAGGCCCCCTCAGCTCCCTTCTCTTTTCTGACTTCTTGCAGCAAACGGGGGCAGGTGGCCAGCAGGGCCAAGGGACCTAGGGCTGGGCCTCCTTGGAGGTGCTCACAGTTCCTGGACCCAGTGGTCCCGGGACTCACCTGCTATTTTCCAGGATGCATGTGGCCAGTTGGCAGACAGCCTCGTTTCTATGGCAGCAGGCTCCAGCCCCGGGCCTGGGAGGAGGGGCTGGCTGCGGACCCCAAGAGCCCAGCCTTTGCCTCGGCTCTGCTCTCCCCAGCTGAGGGCAGAGCTACACAGCCCGTGGGGGCCAGAACACTGGAGGGCCAGCCCAGCCTAGGGGAGGGGAAGTACGGGGCGGGGGAGGCTGCAGTACCCCCGCCCACTGATGTGGGGTGGGGCACACACTCTTCCATCCTCAACAGAAACAGCAAAAGAGACTGGCCAAGTCTGGAGCCCTACGGACGCTGGTTTGATCTTAGCTAGGTTTTCCTGATTCTGGAAAGAGTAAGAACATCTCAGTGATGTGCACACAGGGTTGCCGGCTGCCGAGCCCTCGCCTTGTTCATGGCCTCTGGCCGTGAGAGAGGTGCGGGGGAGAGGGGTGAAAGGGGTCTTAGGCTGGTGTGAGCCAGCCAGCCTGGGGCAAAGGGCTGGACAGCTTGGCTTCCAAGGACCCCATTAGCTGACACCCCAGAAGCCATGACAACCAAAGCTCTCTCCCAAGCCCTGCAGCCTCCCTCTCCCCACCTTCACCCTCTGGTCCCCCTCCTCCCAGTGCCCCCGCGGTGCAGGCACGCACTCGCCCCCGGGCTGCCGCCGCCTCTTCTCCCCTCACATCTTGCGTTTGTTTTGCTTCAGCAGGGCTCGAATGGGGACACGCTGCACTCTCACAATTGGCAGCTTCCTCTGATCCCCCCCCCGCCAGGTGCCATATGTCAGTGTCATGAATAAGCATGAGGCTCCATGGCTGGGGGCTGGGAAGTGGCAGCTGCCAATCACCTGCCGAGCAGAAGTGGGGTGGGGGCTACCAGAGGGTGGGGGTCACCACTAACAGAGGGGCAGGCCAGGTTGGGGGAACATGGGCACAGGCATGGGAAGAGGGTGAGGTCAGAGTAGGGTCACTGATCCTCACCAGGAGGGACACATCCCCAGGAGATCAGGGTGTTTCCTGAAAACAAAGCAAACCCCAAAAGGCATGGTGTGACCATGTGGGGTGGCTAGAGTCTAAGCCCTGCCCCTCAGCCTCTCATCTGCTGTGTGCCCCTGGCCAGCCCACGCCACCTCCTCCAGGATGCCCTTCTCCCTGTGCCCCCCCCACCAGCACATGCTCCATCGGAGCCTCCCCCTGGTGAGCTGGGGGCCAAGGCTTCACCTGCGGGGAGAAGGGGAACCAGATTCAGCCAGCACCTGCGTTTAGGCCGGCAAGGCTGCACAGGACACCATGCGCCCTCAAAACACTCCTGCAAATGGGGGGCTATTAGCCCCACTTCACAGGTGAGAAAAACAGGATTCGCAAAGTTTTAAGAAAATGTCTCCAAGGCTTACGGCTCGGAATCGTGTCTCCAGGTTCTGCCCAGGCCTGCCAGTTCACTGCCAAAGGCTCCGAGCGCTGGGCCTGGGGTGCTGTCGTGTCTGTGCTGAGGTCCTGACTGCCCCCTGCCCAGCCCCTCACCCTGGGACCTAGCAACTCCTTCTTCACCCCCCTGCCCCGCCCTTAGCCCCCTGGAGTCTGCCCTTCCCTCCTCCCTGCCCTGAGGATGCTCTTATCCCTCTTGGAGCCTGCAGAAACCACACAAGTCACGGACACTTGCCTGCATGTTTATCCTTTCCCAGCACTGCCCCACCCCTTCACTGCAGTGACCAGTTTGGGCCTGACCCAGCAGGTGGCTGTGGAATGAACGAAACAATGGACAGAGGCAGGCTGCAAGGCGAGAGCCCTGTGCTGTGAGCCCCAGCACGACTGCAGAAGTGTGTCCTGGGGAGATGGAGGCCAGGCCCCGCCAGCCCCGCATCCAGGCCTTTCCCTCATTCCCAGCCCTGCTGGAGGCTGAGGCAGGCGAGTGCGTGGATCGGACTAACCGCTCTGGGGTAACTGGCTGTCCCTCGCCACCAGCATGACGGATCCCACTTGACATTTCCCTAGATAGTTAATTGATACCCGAGTAATTTGTCATGGAGACCTCGTTATATGCCAACTGGGTCCCCTAAGCCGTCAGCGTCTGTGCCCCAGAAACAAGATTGGCAAGTTAATAATGGAGCCTTAATCATGCCATTCCCCGCTGGCACTGAAAGAGAATTATTCGGAGACAAAATGGGGTGCTGCTGGGAAGAGACAGTGCTTCCTTAGGGCCTTGGGGACTGCGTGTCCTGAGAAAGCCTGGAGCTACCGCATGTCCCCGAGAATGTCCCCTGCCCTGTTTCCCCAACGAGGTGTGCCTTCTTCTGGTGGCCACGCTCTTCCTGTCCACTGAGAAGTGCCCCTCCATAAGGTGGGCTGTGCTGACTCTCCTCCCCGGCTCAGGCTGGAACAGCCCCCCTCCTCCAGCCACAATGGGATCAAATCAAGCAGCGATCACAGTCCATCCAGAACTGAAGGCCTGGGGATTTTGCTGCAGCCTTTGGCATAGACAGGTGCACTGGGAACACTTCAGGGGAGAAAGTCAGCCTGGGGCTGCTGCCAGCCATCCAGCAAGCAGAGGGGAGGCCCCTTGTAACGGCACAGAGGGAGAGGGCAGATGTGTGCCAAGCCGGCCACGCACAGCCAGCTCTGCCCTGGAGTGAACTGACAAGCCCCTACTTTTGCTTAAGGTGGTTTAAGGCAGCTTCCGTCACATGTAATCTGGTGATTTCTCAGCTCAAACACCTACAGGGTCTTACTCTGTAGAACCCACGTGGGGTCTGCTCACAAGAGCAAGAGGGGCCCAGGGCAGGGAGACAGCCTGGTGCAGGAAGGCGGGGCCTGGACAGAGTGGACGCAGGCGGGACAGGCGGGAAGCGGGAGCACCAGGGGCGTGGCCGTCCAGGCCGACACGTGGCCCTGGCTTCAGCACCGTGGACAGCGGCGGCCTTGCCCCACACAAGGAGGCTCTCCCACCTACCTGGGAGAGAGAGGCAATGCAGTCCATCTAGAGGCTGCTGACTGAGGCCTGAACAACGTCACGGTGTCCTCGGGCCTTAGAAACTACTCTTCTGGGCACTTAAAGAGGCCTCCTCCCCAGGCCTCCCCGGTTTCTAGGGCAGGGGCCGGGGTGGGGTCGCAGCTCTCCTGCGCCTGGTTCCCGAGAAGACACCAGATGACACATGCCAACACAGCAAAGGGGAGGCTCAACACAGGAGCGGGATGAGGGTGGAGAGCAGTGCCTGGTGATGGACGCGCAGCAGGTACACAAGCAGTGGAGACGGGGGTACGGGAGGGGTGGCGTGTATTAGTTATGTTTTGCTGCATAAAGATTTATTCTAGAACAAAGATCTATGATCTCACACAGTGTGTGAGGGACAGGAAGCAGACCGGCCAGCTGGCTCTGGCTCAGGGTCTTTTGTGAGCTTGCAGTCAGATGACAGCCAGGGCTGTGGGCATCTGAAGGCTTGACCAGGGCTGGAGGGTGCACTTCCAAGACCGCTCCCTCACATGGTGAATGGCAGGTGGGCTTGGTTCTTCGCCAGGTGGACCTCACAGGGCAGTTTACGACATGGCAGCTAACTTCCCTCAGAGTGAATAATGAGGGGGAGAGAGAAGGAGGGGTACCATCCAGACAAAAGTCCCAATGTGTTTAGGCTAGGATCAGAAGTGACACACCCTCACTTCCGCACCCCCACTGGTCACACAGATGGACCTGGTCCAGCGTGGCCAGAGAGTACACCAGTCCCAGGAGGTGTGGATCCCTAGGGGCCACCTTGGAGGCTGGCTACCACAGGCCTGGAGAAGAAAATGAACTCAAGACGGCCTGATGCTTTTAACTGTCCCGAAAAGAGATTTATATTTCCACTGCAGGGTTTGGGCAGAAGTAAGTAATGGGCACACAGAAAATAAATCAACCCCAAACCATGAGGCAGTTATCCAGGGCAGGGAAACGAGAGGCTGCACGAGAAAGAAGACGCAATCACGACACACCACCCAGCTGCGAACAGTACGTGCAGAGCAAGAACAACGCAGACACTGAATCCTGATGCAAGCAAGACGAGAAGATGGGTGGAAGGAAAGCGCGCGTGCGTGTGCGTGTGAGGGGCTACGTGAGGGAACACACTCTGAAGCCCCACAGCAGACAGTCAACGGATAGCTTCTAAATCTAAAAACCACCAAAAGCCAGCATCAGCGTGTTACTTAGAAGTAACAAAAACAGAACCACCACCTACCCTCCAAAAAAAATCCCTATAAAATAACAAAAATTTGCCTCTGAGAAGGAGCGACCAGGAAAGGAGAGTAGGTGAGTAAGGAGCTACTGGGTTTTCATTTCCAGTCGCACAGAAGTATTTGACTATTTAAAGTATTTACATTAATAACCTTGATTAAAAAAAAACCACCAAAACACAGTGCAATTCATGTAACAAAAAGACAAAAACATTGCAGCCTGCTCCCCACCAGGCGCCTGCAGCCCCAGGGAAGGGCCCAGGGAGCGACGTCCTCTTCCAGGGCAGGACCCCCTTGTGCACGAGATTTCCTCTCTGAGCCGCTCCTGGTCGCTTGCCTGCCTGTCTCCACCCGCACCCTTCCCCCATAGCCTGCCTCCCGCCTTCCCGCCCCCTCCCATTTTCCTCCGGGTTGGGTGGGGAGGAACCAGCCAGGGGAGGGCCCAGCCCTGTCCACAAGCAACAGCTTGCCCTGGCCCCTCCGGCCCACAGGCCCCACGCGGCCCCAGCGTCGCCCACCGTGACAGGGAACTGCGAGAAGTGGCTCCTGCTTCCTGGGAGGTGAACCAGGGATAGCGGGCGGCGCTCCATCACTTCCATGGCACCTCGCTAATTACCCAGAGTGCTATTCATCTGGGTGTCACTGCTGCCGCATGCCTGTGCCTTTAATTAATAATCTGGTAAAACTCCATGTAGGGCCTGGCCAGGGGCTGCTGGGGCCGGGCCAAACCTGCAGTGGGTGGACCAGGCAGAGAGGCCCCCCACCTGGCCCCCAAACCCCAACAAGTGCAGAGGCCTTGGGCCAGAACCCAGGGCCCGATTCCTTGTCCCCGGGTGTTCCCCCACAGGCCCCAGGTGAGGTCCCTTTAGGGACACTTCCAGGAGGAGGCCAGAGGCAGACCCTGAGGGGTGTGTGTGCACAGTGACTGGGGCCAAAGGCGGGGGATACTGGCTCCCCCAGAGCCCAGGCTGGCCCCTCGGGCCCTGGAGGGTTGAAACCCCAGAAGCCTGGGAGGGGAGGGGAGGTGGGGCCGAGGATCCCAGCACAGACCCGAGCCCAAAGAGGCCAATGTCAAAAAGTAGGGGGCAGAGGAGGGGTCCCCGCACAGCTAGGAACACGGCCGGGCCTCCTCCCTGGGGCTTGGGTTTGACCTGATCACAAAGGGCCACTCCCAGCCCTGGGCATCCTCCATTCCTGCTGCTCCAAGAGAGGGGAGGGGGACAGACTGGGGTGGTGCCCGGAGGGGCCTGGGTGTGACCTGCAGTGGCCCACCACCTCGTGGTAGCCTCTCAGTCCCAGTCCCCGGGCAGCGTGTGGACTCTGGGAAGGGGCACGATGCCTGCCAGGCTGACAGGAAGATCGACTTGGATCCAACCTGAATTATTGAGTGGTTCGAGACTTATTCTTGGTTCTGGGGCGGGCTGTGGTCTGTGAAGATGGATATTGTCTCGGCCCTATTTTTAAGGTTCTGTGGGAAGGAGCCCAGACACTGCCACACTTAGGGCCCCACGTGGCCTGCAGGGTAGACCCCTGGAGGTGGGGGTGGAGGTGGGAGGGACATGTGGCCTCTAAGCCCCTCCCACTCCCCATCATGCTGCTTTCCGGCGCTCCCACGGACCCCAGAACCCCTCCAACATGAACTCCAGCACCCGGCCCTCCGAGCAGCTCAAGCTGTATCCATGCCCACCACCGGGGTAGGCACTGGTTGGGGGGACATCTTGAGGGTGGGGAGAGGGCACTTCAGGCAACACTGACTGCTAACATCAGGAGTGACAGAGGACACCAGCACACCATCACAGACACAGAAAGAAACTCCATGAATAATTACATGCAACATCTGGGCAGTCTGGACGAAATGGACAAATCCCTAGACACACACAAACTATCGGCTGATTCAAGAAGAAACAGAAAGTCTTCACAGAACTGCAACACGCAGAGACTGAATCAGTAACCAAAACCTTCCCAGCAGACACAAGCACGGGGCCGGGGCCTTCCCTGGCGACTCTGCCCAAGGTTTCAACAAGAGTCAACGCCAGTCCTCAGCCTCTTCCCGAAGAGAAGAGAGCGCTTCCTCACCATCCTGTGAGGCCAGTGTTGTCCTCACAGCAAAGCCAGATGGAGACACCACAGGAAAACTGCAGGCCCATGTCCCTCATGAATATAGATGCAAAAATTCTCAGCAAAATACTAGGAAATCAAATTCAGCTGCATAGTAACAGGATTACACACCACGGCCAAGTGGGGTTTATTCCACAAATGCAAGAGTGGCTCAGAATGTGAAAATCAGTCAACATGACAACACCCCACACTAACAGAGTGAAGGCAAGTGAACACTTCAGCAGGTGCAGGAAAAGCACCCGGCCAGCCCAACACCCCTTCACGAGAAAAACAGAGAAGCCAGGAACGGAAGGAACTCCCTCAACCCCACAGAGGGCATCTACGAAAACCCACAGCCGACACCACCGTCTGGGCGAAGGACTGAAAGCTCTCCCCCTAGGGCCAGGAACGGGCAAGGGTGTCCGCTGCCCCCACGTCCATTCAGCACCACCCAAGAGGGTCTAGCCAGGACGGTTGGGCAAGAACACGCCATAAAGGGCACTCAGATTGGGAAGGAGAAATAAAACTTTCTCTACCTGCGAAATACATGACTTTATACATACAACTCCTGAAGCACACACGCATGCGCGTGCACAAACACACACACACACACACACACACACACACCCTTAGAGCTAATAAATGAGCACAGCAAAGTTGCTGGATACATGATACAAAAACCAGTTGTATTTCTATATAACAGCAGTGAATGATCCAAAAATAAAATTAACAAAACAATTCCACTTACAATAGCATCAAAAAGGATAAAACAGTAATAAACTTAACTAAAAGAAGTACAAGACTTGTACAATGAAAATTATAAAACACTGTCGAAAGAAACTAAAGAAGGTGTAACTAAGTGAAGAGACACCCTGTGCTCAGCGCCTGGAAGAGGTAATCCGCTGAGACAGCAGTGCTCTCCAAACTGGTCCGTGCGGTCACTGTCAAAACCCCAAATGCATTTTTTGGGGGCGGAAATGGACAAGGCGGTTCTAAAACTCGTACAGAATTACAAGGGACCCCCAGATAACTTTACACAAAAATTACTTCAAAATGGGTCAAAGGTCTAAACGTTAAGAGCTGAAGCTACAAAACTCTTCGAAGAAAACAAAGGAGGAAACGCATTTTTTGTGACGTTGCATTAGGCAACGGCTTCTTCACTACGACACCAAAAGCACAAGCAACCAATGAAAAAGATTCATCAAATGTTAAGTCTTTCATTCATCAAAGGTCATCAACAATAAAATGAAGACAACACAGAGCAGGAGGACGTATCTGTAAATCGCACACCTGGAAAGGGTCTGCTATCCAGGACACACAAGGGATTTGTACGGCTCGACAACAAAAAGACAGGTAACAGGTTTTAAAAGGGCAAAGGATTTCAGTGGACGTTTCTCCCAGAAAGACACTCAAACAGCCCACATGCACACGAGAGGCGCGCAGCATCGCCAGTCATCAGGGAAATGCACGTCAAGAGCTCACCCGGATACCGCCTTACCGGCACGCCCGCGTCCAGCAGACAGACAGTGGCAGGCAGAGGGTGTGCAGAAGCGGGAGCCCTGCGTGCTGGTGGCGGGGCTGCAAAAAGGCACGGGTGCCGTGCAAAACAACAGGGAAACACTACAGCTACTTCTCAAGAACGGAAACATAGTGGCACCACGGCACCCAGAAATTTCACCCCTAAGAGAACTAAAAACCTAAGTTCACACAAACACTTGTGCATCGATGTTCGCAGCAGCACTGCTCGTAACAGCCCCCACTGCTGGCCATGCAGCAGTTCAGACGAACCCTGAAAACGCTGTGCTGAGAGAAGCCTGACACAAAGGTCACATGCTGTGACTCCATTCCTATGAGGGACCCAGAATGTGCAAGTTCACAGAGACAGGAAGCCAGCTAGTGGTGGCCAGGGGCTCTGTGCCACAGCCACCCTGCATGGGGCTGCCGCTGCCCGGAGGAAGGGCAGCGTGACCCCATCAGATGCTCCAGCTTTGCCCCAGCGCTGTTGGTACAAAGCCTCCAGGCCCAGCCAGCTCTGCCTGGCTCCCATCCTGCACACCCACACCCTCCCACCCCCTGGTCCTGATGAGCTCTGGGCAGAGAGAGGGCTCCAAGGAGTTAGGAGGGCAGTGATGATGGAGCACCAGGCAGGGGATGAGCTTCCCGAAGCCACCTGAGCAGTGTCCTGGGCACCAGGATGGGGCGCATCTGGGGTGGCTGAGTGCCCTCGGACTCAGCAGGGGTGTGAATGAAGCAGCAGCTGCCTGGGGCCACAGCCAAGTGCCACTGTTTCCCACGTTCTTGGGAACCCCCCAGGACCATGGCTGTGTTCAGGTGGGGATGACCCCCAGAAGGAGCCCCGCCCAGGCCTGCCTGTGCCCAGTGACCGTCAGGGATTTTAGGGAGGCAGCCCCAGGCCGTCCGTCCCTCTGACTGCTAATGTCTCATCGAGGAGCCCAGCTGCTGCTGGACACCCACCACGTTCCATGTACTGGGAACGGACTGCGCCGCTGCCAGCAGGGGCGCCATGCAGATGCTCACACTCAGTCCTCAACCTGACCGAGTGTCTGTACCCCTGCAAGAACACAGGCCCCTCTTGGAGCGCCACCAGATGCCATGTGCCACTTTCTCTGCGGGGAGACAGACCGTGAGGGAGAGGGAGCTGGGGGCACTGTGGGCACAGTGAGCCGGAAGCTGCAGGTACCAAGGTGCAGGCTCCAAAGCCACAGGAACAGCACCCCGGAGCCTGGGCAGGGTGGGCAGACGGCCCAGGGCCTGCTGGGGAGGGCGGGGTGAGCTGCAGCTCCCTGTGTACCCCAGGCTGTGATGAGCAACTGTTTTTCTCAGGCCCAGAACTGGGAGAGTGGAAGCTGAGGGGAGAAGAAAGGTGTGCCCGGGCGGACACCTGGGGAGGCAGCATGAGCAGGACCGCAGATCAGTACCTGGGACAGTCCTTCCAGCTACAGGAGCCCCCTTGGAGGCACTTGTGAAATATGCGAGAACCTGCCGGGCCATCGTGTGCAGCCAGAAGCACGTGGGTGGCATCCAAAGGCCCTCTGGACCTCACCGCCCCCGACTGGGACTGACCCACCTACTGCAGTGTCTGACTAGGGGCTGCTGAGCGGGGAGCCCCACCCCGCCTGACACAGGGCTTCAGGAGTGCAGGTGAAGCAGGAGGGGAAGGCGGGCAGCACCCTGCTGGCCCCAAACCCCAGGCTGCCTTGCTCACTTGTCCCCTTTGCTTCTTTCAGGAGCCCAGGCCCCGGAGGAGAGCTCCCTTCTCATCGTGAGTGAACGGAGAGGTACCAGAGGGCCATGGGGGGAGTGCCGAGACCCGGGGCCTCCCTGGGCTTCCGGCCCAGGCTGCCAAACCACGACAACCAGCTCCTTCCCGACAGGCAGGGTAAGTGGCAAGACAGACCTCCGCTAGCTTCCTCATCCCCTCAGCAAAGGTTCCAGGGCCCTCAGGGGGCCTGGGGGGCGAGCTGGCAGGTGGAGGACCGGGGGCTGCTTGGGAGGCGCACAGGGACCTCCACTGGGACTTCAGCTCACACTGAGAGGAGTGGCCAGGCGGGGGGCCAAGTCAGGGACAGGGCAGAGCTGCTTTCCCAAGTCGAGATGAACTTGGAGGCTGGGTGAAGAGGCTGGCAGGTATAGCAAGCCAGGCTGGCAGGAACAGGGGAGAGCTCTCAACACCTGCACGCAGTGGGGCTGTGGCCTCAGTGGGCGTCCCGTCCTCATAGCCTCAGGCCAGGTCAGCACAGCCCGACACCCATCCCCTCAGGTACTGGCGCTGGCATTCTGTCTGGCACCCCATCCCTGCAGCCCAGACTGCCTGCGCGTCCCCCCACCCTCGGGCCCTTTCCAGGCTCTTCTCCCCCTCATCCAGGACCCATGGGTGCCAGCAGCCACCCCAGACTGCACCCTCCCTGGCCGGGGTGGAAGTGGCTCAATGTGGCTGGCCGGCGGGGAGAGGAGGGCTGGGTTATAAATGAACACAAAGCAAGTGGCATGAGTACTCGGAGGAGCAGATGGGCCAGAAGCCCTGGCCGTGCATACAGTCTGGCAGCTGTAAGCTCACCTGGGCGCTTTTAGAATGAAACCAAAGAAAACACCAGAAAAATCGCCGTGAACGCCGAGCCCCTTCCCGTGCTCCTGGGAAACTAATCTCAGGTGCTTTTTCTGGGTCTGGCGCTCTGCTGCGTGAGCTCCATCCTCTGCTGAGCTTGCTCCAGGCCCTCAGGCCTCATGACCGCGGAATGAGGAGGCAGCCCCCTGGCCCATCTGAGCAGGGCGGTGCCTGCTGTGTCCCCATGTCCTGGGGCCGGGCTGCCCGCTTCTGGAGGGCCGCTCCCCGAGTCCCTACAGATGAACTGGAGCGGTGCCGTGGGCAGCCCGAGAGTCTTCCAGGCGACCAGCGTGGGCCACCCTCAGCCCTGGCCCTGGGCGTCTGGGCCTGGGGCTCTCTGGTGTGTCCTGGGGCCTTGGCTGCGGGCTTCAGGGGGCCTGTCCTTACCTGCCAGCTCTTCTGAGACTCCCTCGGGGCATGCCCTTGGCCTTGGTGCCTTCCTGCTCCTGGTAATAACATTGAGAAAGGGCAGCATCAAATGCCAGAGCCCCCTCGCTCCCCAGTTAGGCCCTGGAGACCGTGCCACCTGGATGCTTGGGGCCCTGTGGGCCCAGGCCAGAGGACGAGGTGGATCCCAACAGCCAGCCCCCAACCCCTGGAGAGCTTGGGGTTCCCAGCTACAACTTCCCCAAGTTCTCAAAGCAGCTCAGCTGGGCCCAGGACAGCACAGCTTGAAGGGGAAGGGAGCATAAAGGAAACACCGTGCTTGCAACGACTCCTGGTGGGAGAGGACACCCCAGCTGCCTCAGCGTCCTCGTCTGCAAAGTGACCTCAGTGCCTGCCTCCAGTAAGTGCTGTCAGGATGGGGTAATCAGCCACCTCTGGCTGTCACTACACAACATGGCAGGATGAGACACTGTGCAGCCACACAGCTGAGGAAACAGGCTCAGAGAGCTGGTGGTGCCTAGCCAGGCCCACCCGACTTGCTTGCCCTGTGTGAGAGCCCACACCCCAGTGCCTCACGGATAAATGGATCAAGACAGGTGGGGAGCCACCCTGGTGGGAGGCGGGCCTTGGGCTTTGGGGGTTTCTGGAGAGTTCCCACTGAACATGGAGTCACACCAGCCCCTCATGTTCTGCTGGCTCCTCTTCTGTCCCTTCAGGAACTCTGCCTCCCTGCCTGGCCCTACACATCTGGCCTGAGCCTCAGCGCACAGCAGGGAGAGGCTCAGCCACCGGAAACAGCCCCCTGTGGGCATGACCCGGACACCTCGGCACTCACCTCTCCCGCCCTGGGGCAGGGGCGCCACCGATGCCCAGGGTCCTGCGGATGTAGCCTCGGGAGCGGATGTCAGCCTGGGGAGGGGGGTGGCTCGAGTGAGAGGTGGCAGCTGGGGTCCCGAGCTGGCCTCTGGACGAGCCCCAGCCCGGCAGCCTGGACCCCCCATGGAAGCCCTGCCTTCGGGACCAGGCGCAGCAGCCCCGTGGTGTGTGGGTGACACAGTGCCAGGCCCTCTCGTCAAGATGCTCCATGGCATGTCCCCAAAGGGCCTGAGGGAACGTACTGGGTGCCCCCCCTGTTTCTGCCGGCTTCCACTGGGCTCACAGTTTGTGCTTCCCTGTAGGTTTTGTCTGAGCCCAAGGTTTCTCTGCTAAAACCCTTTTTTCTGCACACTGCCCTCAGCCCAGCTTGTCTGTCCTCACTTTTGGCTCATCTGTCTCCTGGCTGGTGTCAGCTGTGACCCCTGTCCCTGGGGAAGTGTCTAGAAAGTTCTGCGGAGTCTCCAGAACGAAAGGGGGCTTGCAAGCCACAGACTGGGATCAGGGGAGACCCTGGGCAGAGGGGATCAGGCCTGAGTGGGACCCTCCAGGACCTTGCTGCCTGGACACTCCCACAGGCTGACCCCCACCGGGGGGGGGTCTGTCCTCAGGAAGCCCCTGATCCCAGCTCAGATGGGCTTAGCCCTGCTTCGCCCCGCATGACAAGACACGGCAACTAATCCCCCAGCTGCTTCTGCTTCAGAGTGAAGGGGCACGCGGGCAGGGTGGGCAGCAGGGTGCCCAGGGGAAAGGCCCCACAGAGGCGAGGCGTACCTCCCGCCCTCCGCAGCAGCAGCCCGGCCCAGCCTGACACACAGACAACAGACCTGGGGCCAAGGGAGCAGGCACTGAGCCCTCTCTTACCCTCTCCTCAGAGCTTCCAGAAGTGGTCAGGAGGAAGAATTGTAAACAGGCAAGCAGGTCGAGCAAGAAGACGGACAAAGAGACCGCCAGTGCTGCTGGACAAGGCTTCTCCCCCACCCCAATCCTCAGAAGTGCCAGGGCCGGTGGGCTCCTGGGCGCAGACAGCTGGCTCTTTACTAGGGCAGACACATGGTCCTTGCCCACATAAGGGGCTCATGGGACTTTAGAGGGCATCCTCTACCTGCAAGGACACGACCACCACACACTCTGGGGCAAAGCGAGGCACAGAGGGGACAGAGCCCTGCCCACTGTTCCAGCTCAGCAGAGTCCCTGGCTCTGAAGACCTGGGGAGAGTTTTTGGGTCTCCCAGCCCAACCTGTGTGAGGTTGCACAGGTGGGTGGGAATGGGGGAGGGAAGGCCTCCTGGGGCCAGGACTCACACCCAAGGCTTGAGAACCCTCACACCTACGAACCCTGTACATGGGTCGGTGGACACTCAGCCAGTCCACTCTAAATGCCACCCCAGAGGCCTCGTCTCTGCACCGCCCTGAGAGGGGCTGGCAGCAGGGGCTGAGAACCGCAGCCTTGTGCGGACTGCTACTGCCACCTGGAGGCCAGCCTGCACACCAGCAGCTGGGAGGCCCCAGGCCCAGAGGTGGGCAGCAGGTGCTGGGGGAGGCAGAGCCAGGGCCCTCAAGCTTCCAGCGTCACCAGCTGGTGCTGAGCTGAGAGGACGGGGCAGGCCCGTGGCCTCTCTGGCAGGCTGCCTCGTGCTGAAGCAGCACAGGCCTCAGGCAGATGGGGAGCAGCAGGCCGCGCACAGAGCCACGGCTGTGATGGCAAATCCGAGTGTCCCCTCTGGACTCACATCCAGAGCCCAGTGGTGCACCTGAGGTTCTGTCACAGCCGTGACACTCACAGGCTTCCACCCGCCCATCCCTGCCCAGGCTCCAGCCACATCTTCCTTCAGGTTTCTGGGCAGCAGGCTTTCTGGCCCCAGGGCCTTTGCAAATGTCAGTCCTCCGGCCTTCCCCCTACTCTTCCAGCAGGTCTCTTCCTGAGGACGGCTCCTCACGGATGCTCACCCCACGGGCTTCCTGCCGTGCACCTGCTGTGACTGTTGCCTCCTTGCCACTGAGGCGAGCCCAAGGGCACCGTGCACGCGGTTCTGCCTCCCGTGCCTGCAGACAGCTTTTTCTCAGCTGGGCCGACTCGTTCACTAGAGTTCTGATCTCCGGGTCCCAAGCTAGGCGCTGGGTGCCTGGCATGGCCACACCTTGGAGTCTCCTGACTGGCACCCTTGGCACAGGTCTTCCCTAGCCTTGCCCAGGAGCCTCACAGGGGCCTCCCTAGCTGAGGACGGCCACTCCCTCCCTGCCAGCTAGGCAGTTTGGCCCTCAGGGGCTGGCAGGCCGCTCTGCCGCTTGAGCTGATGTCAGCTGATCCTCCTGAGGACCCAGGGTGCAGGAGGCTGAGAGGCTGAGTGCAGGGGCCCAGTGGGCCACAGGGCCTGGGCAGGGCAGGGCTGCAGGATGAGCCCCAGGGAGCTCTGCACCCTCCAGGCCCTGTTCCGCCCAGCACGCCCGGCGTGGCCCAGACTCTTCCACAGGTGCTTACAGGCCTCTCCTTGCCCGGGGGCACGGCAAGGGCAGGCGCTGTGAGTCAGCCCACCCACCTGGCGCACGGGCTCCGGGATCCGAAACCTGCAGCAGCCATGGGTCAGGCGCACGGCTGCCTCCAGGCTCATCTTGTGGCCCACAGAGACGTAGAGGGGTTTGGTGCTGTGGTCATGGCTCCTCAGGGCCTGGGACAGGAGAGCAGGGTCAGGGCGCTGGGGCAAGCTCTGTGGGCTGGAGGATGGACAACTCGTCCTGGGTGGCAGGAGGGAGCTTGGGGCGCCGCCAGCACCCTCGGGCGCCTTCCTGCTGCTTGTCTTGGGGATGGGGAGGGGTGAGCGAGGGCTTGGAGGTCCCCTCAGTACAGTGAGGGAGGGGAGGAAAGAGATGCAGGCACAGCCCAGGTCAGCCCGAGCGGTGGGAAGACGGAGAGGCGGACGGGTTCTGGCGTGCATGCGTACACAGGTACTGGCGCTCGGATGACAGGTCTGCCTTGGTGGGGCACAGGTCCCTGGCCACTCACCATGCCCAGGACGGTCCCGGAGCCTCCCATCAGTGGGAACGAGTCTCCTCCAGCCCTCAGGAGTCGTATCTGGAGAACAGAGAGAAGACTTGGGGAAACACGTTTCTTGGTGACGGGCTGAGGCAGGCCAGAGACGGAAGGGCCCATCTGTGAGTGGACCGTGCGTCCAGGGCGCTGCCCAGCCTGACGAGGTGCTCCCTCCTCATCCCACAGCGGAGAAGGGGCAGCAGCCCGCCCAGGCCCCCGAGTCGGGGGTGGAGGCAGCCGGCTGGCGCACACACAGGGCCACACCCGCCTGAAGCCACTTACTTCCCGCCGCTTTCTCTCCTGCTAGAGACGCGAGCACTTGATTCAACCCAACAAACTTCTGGGGCTGGGGCTGGGGCTGGGCGTGGGTGCTGGCCCCCTGAGCGGCCCAGAGGCCCTGCCAGCTCAACAAGCAAAGCGGGCACGGGGACCAGGAGGACGAGGGGACACAGCTGAGCCCTGTTCTCAGCCAGCTGTCTGGACAGGAGAGCCACACGCGTCACTAGCTCCCTCCGAAGTGGGCCCAGAGGGAGACGCCCCAAGGCGGGTGGCGTGTGGAGAAGTACTCAGCCCCGCACAGGCCCCAGATGCCACGTGGAGCGCCACGGCAGAGGCAAGCTCGCAGCCAGGATGCTGGGAGAGGAGCTCGAGTCTCCCGCGATGGCCCACCACCCACGGGGCACCCAGGGTGTGCAGAGAAAGCGGGTCTTCCTCACTCGGGCCCGCAATCCAGGACAGGCGGGGGAGGGCGCCCTGGGCAGGGTTGGCCCGCAGCGTGTGGCCTTTGTGCGTCGCTCCCACAGGCCCCTCACCTTCTCCTTGTGCAGAGCGCTGTTCTCCAGCCCGTCAACCTGCAGCAGTTTCTTGGCCACCCCGACACAGGGCAGGTCTGTGAGGACGCCGAGGTGGCAGGCCACCCCAAAGCCTGTGGGGGCAGAGGAGGGTGAGGCTGGGGTGGTGGGATGTCAGCCCAGCAGTCTAGAGATGCAGGGACTGGGGCCACACCATGGCCTTGCCAAGCTCCTCCACGTGAACAGAGGCCTATGGGGCGAGGGCCGGGGAGCAGGCCTCTGAGCCCCACCCGGCTTTCTGGGTGGTGGGCTGGGCACAGGACACCCCCTCCACCCCCCCAAGATTAGGAGCCGAATTAGCGTGCTCACTCACTTCACCTGCTTCTCCTTTTACTTTCTGGCACCTTCCCTCCTCCCCCTCTCCTTTGTGGCCACCATCAGACCTCTGCGTTTCTGCCCCCCAACTCTCCCAGGGCCACGGGGCCCCTGCCAGGAGGCCAGGATTGCAGCGCCTGGGGTCCAGGCCCAGAGCTGGCCTGCTGGCCCTGTGCTAGCATCCAGGGTTGCTCTGGGCCCACAGGCTTCCAGGGCAGGAGCTGGAAAGCCCATGCCACCCCTTCCCGCCCCCTCTGCTGCCCACCCCCCAGCTTTGCCCCTCCCCCTCAGCCGTCCTGCCCTGGGCCGGTTTCCCCACGTCCGTGGGGGACGGGCACACCTTTCTGCTCCTGCCTGGTTTCAGGCAAGGGCCTGTCAGGACGCAGGGTGGGCTGCCAGCAGGACAGGCTGGCTCAGCTCAGGGATGACTTCTGGTAGCATCAGGTCCCAACCGGACGGTGGTCCCTGAGCTGGGCCAGTGCAGGCTGGTGGGGGGGTGGTCAGGGAAGTCACGGGGGTGGGCAGGAAAGAGGCGGAGTGAAGAGGAGGAGGGATTCTCTGCCAGGGGTCTTGACAGGAAAGCAAAGCCAGCAGGAGCGCCAGTGCCAGGCCCCCTCCGGGTCCCTCTAGGGAGAATTACCTCGGTGGTGGAGCACCCCATTTCCGTCCACGAACAGGACCTGGAAAAGCCACGGGAACGTCCCAGTCAGCTGAAGTGCCCCTTGCCCCTCAGGCGGGGGCGACCCGGAGCAGCAGGAGGGGCCCAGCTTTCTAGGCCGTGTCCCTCTGCTCTGGGCAAAAGCGTTTCTCCTGGAAGCTCACAGGGTCTCCCCAGGCAGTGCCTTGCGGGAGGCCCTCCCCTCCTGCCCAGCCGAGGTACCTGCCTGGGGCACAAGGTGGGGCTCCTTCTCCCGCAGCCGCCGCACCGCGTCCACCATGAAGAATACTTCTCGGAAGGCCAGGAAGCCCGACACGTAGGGGGCCGTCAGGCTAACCATTCGGCAGTCCTCATACACCACCTACCACCAGGCACCCAGGTCACCGCACGCCCTGTGGTCCTGGCCACCTGTCTCCCCGCACGCCCTCAGCCCTCGTCCATCAATCCTTTCCATTGCCAGCTCCCTCCCCGTCTCCCAGGCCCACCCCCAAGGCCCCCTTCCCTGCCTCACTAACTGGGGATGGGTGATCCACCCTGCAGATGAGCAGCGGGTGTCAAATGCTGCCGTTTCCAAGTCCTGGCCACACCTGGTGTGGACCAGCCCCTCCTGAGGCTGCCTCCTTTGTAAATCAGAGCTGTCCCCCACCACCCACCTCTGCCCTCCCCTCTTCTGCCAGGCTGTCTGGGGGCTCACAGAAGACAAAGCACAAGAAGCGCCTGTGGATAAGGACATCTCAGCGTTAGAAGGTACATTAGAAGGGGCTTCAGGGAAGAAAAGGCCAGGTCTTCATGGCGGCTACAACAGCCAGAAGGGCAAGTCCAGCCTCACAAGAGACTGCGAGTGTTTTAGAGAAAGGACAGGCGCCACCTCAGTGAGGCAGTCTGGAAGAGAACCGGGTTCCAGGGGACGGCAGGGTCCAAAAAGGAAAACTCTGAGGCCGTGACTGCAAATAACTCCAGAGAGGGAGGGGGGACGCCCCAGGGATGGTGCGCTAAAAGGCCTTGCGCACACTGGGAGGAGCGGGGCCATGGGTCTGGGGCAGGGCCAAGGGTCAGGGGCTGGTGGATCTGCTGGGGACCATCCAGACAGCTGTCACACGCTCTGGTAGACTGTCCTTCCAACTGAGAAGTCCTAACACCCCTGTCAGTACTGGAACAGGGGCCAGCTCAGACCACAGAACGCCAGCCCGAAGGCCCCTTAACCTTGACATGTCATTAGAGCCAGACCGGCCTGAGATGGAGAACGCTTCTCACTCAGCACACATCCTCCAGAACCCTCAGACATCCCCAATTGTGACTGACCACCCTCCTGACCCCAGTCTCTTGGTGACAGCTTTCAAAATCATACTCGCACCCCTCCCACAAAGCTGGGTCATAACCACACGTCCCCACGTGAAGGGACTGCAGTAACGGCACAGAGGAGGGGCTTGTCTTTCCAACACTTTCATCACTGACTCACAGGAAACGTACCAAACTGCCAACGACCCAAAGCGGGCAGTGTCTAACTCGATGACAGACCAGAGAATTCGATCCACAGCGAACCCCGCAGGCTGGAGTGCTGAACCCCATACAGCAGAATGCGTCCTCACAGGGACACACATGAACGCCAGCTGTGGCCCGAGTTCCCACAGGACGATGGTGGCTGCTACATCTGAATCTCTCCCCAGAAACTCCAGAAACCAGAGACACGCAAAAGGGGAGAAAAATCCCCTCTACCCAGCGCCTACGGGGTACCCACAACTGGGGCACAAGCCGATTACAAGCGTCAGTGTGTGCCTACGTGTGCAAATAAGCAGCCCAGACTTGCAGAGCCGGCTCCAGGCCCCGGGCTGGACAGGCAGGTGGGGACGGCCAAGGGTAGGGCGTGTGGCGGGGAGCCTGATGGCATGAGAGCTCGTGGGCAGCCCCAGCCAGCAGGGACTGGAGAGAAGGGGCTTGGAAGTCCACGGGGCCATCACAGCTTTATCAGGAAGATGTTCCTCTGGGGAGAAGCAGGTGAGCCCTGGGGGCTCGTGGAGAAGCAGGCGAGGCTAGAAGTGTAACGTTCCTCAGAAACGAGAGGATCACAGAACTGGAAGACACGCCGGCCACTTTGCTTCAGAAGAGGACACTATTTACTGGTGAGACTACACTTCACTGTCCCTTGTGACTTAAGAAACCCAGTGGGCCACCCGAACCCCCAGCCCTTGAGTTTCCTGTTTAAGCAGCATTTAAAGTGAACAGTAAAAGGCTGTACAGAGGTACGAGGACTCAGAAGGCGATAATCAAACCTGGTGAGCTGACAAAGTGCTGCCCCAGTCAGGCAGCAGGAAAACCAACCGAACGGCGGACAGAGAACCCCACACGGCAGAAATAAAAACGCAGATCAGCAACGGACCAAAACACCGGCAAGGAGGAAAACCCAGCATACGTACGACTGAAGACAAGAAACAAAACTATGGAGGGAAACCAATACTTAAAACCACCATCCAAGAAACGTTCCAAAAATACCAGGCGCTTTGACCCTCCATATGGAGAGCCAACGGGGAACCTGGGGAAGCTAACACGGAACGGTCAGCGCAGGACGTCTCAGCAAACAAACAAAGCAAAACAAAACTCCCCACAGCAAACGGGACCTACTGGCAACAGTGACTGCAACATAAACTACGTCACAAGTTCGAGAGACCAGAGAACAACACAAAAGCAGCTCTAAGAAACAGATGGCGGCAACCGGGGAAATGGGATAAAGAATGGAGTTCAGGTATTTATGGAATTAGGTGAATATCCTCAGGTGTGATAACGACACTGCCCTCTTGCAGAAAAATGTCATTCTCAGCACAGGCCTGGGGAGCCGCCACAAGCTCTGGGAGGCACCCTCCAACCTCAGTACGCACACACAGGGGAGACGGCAAAATCAGAAAAAGCTGACACTTAAGCAGCGGGTATTTGAGTGTTCAACGAATTAGTCTTTCAACTTTTTAGTAAGAGTGCACATTCTCAAGTCAGAAACCTGGGAGGAGGAGAAGTCAATTGTGCAGTGAGCAGGTGGGCACAACCTGGGTGCTCAGCAATCCGTGAAGATCCGCACGTTCCACCCTAAGCCAACGTCCACGTGGCGCCCTGGTCCCGAACTGCACTTAGAGAAATGATCTGCGAGTCAGCTCCCCCCACCAATGGCCAAACTGCACTTGACGTAGTCAGGTCAATGCCGGGGCGTAAAGATGGGCCCTGCTCACTGCGGGCACAGTTGGAGGGCCGGCGAGGGAGCTGGAAGCACCTCAGTGAGGCTCTCAGGACAGAGCAGACAAGACAGGAGAGCCCAGAGCTGCCTGCTGACAGTGGGAGGGCTGGCAGAGGAGGGCGGGAACCGTCTGCTCTGTGCTCTGGACCTGAAGGCGGAAGTCACAACCAGGCAATTTCAGCTCCGTGGGGAAAAGAACACACTGACCAGGGCTCTGACCGTGCAATGGACTATTGTGAGGCCACGACTCGTCAGGGACGCTGAGGAAAGGACTCCCAGCTGCGGGGAAGGTAGACCAGTGACTCAGCCTGGCTTTGCTCTGGAATCACAGGGAAGAGGTTTGTTGGTTTGTTTTTAAAAGGCAAATACCGGTAAACGAGGTAGGTTCGGGAACCTTTTTTTTTGAAATAACTTTATTGAGATACAGCTCACTACCATAAAGTTACTTGAAGAGTATCTTCAGTGCTTTCTGGTGTTTAGAGTCGTGCGACCATAAACATAATCGAATTTTAGAACATTTTCACCACCCTCAGAATCATCTTGTCCCCACTAGCAGTCACCCTTCATCCATCCCACTCCCCAGCCCTTGGCAACGATGAATCTACTTTCTGTCCCTACGGATTTGCCTACGGAATCTGTATTTCTATACACACTTCCGAGCAACTGCACAGATCCATGGTTGGGCATTTGGGAGTCACTGGGCCAGACTCTTCCAAGATCCTTTCCCAGTCTAAGCCTCTATACCACAGGGCGACAAGTGCTGACCACATCCAAGCAGCAAGCACTTGGCTGAGAGCTGGGGTTACAGAAGAAATATGGCATAACCCCAACCTTGAGACTCTGCAGATGGTGAGAAAAACAGAATATAAACCAACTTTTTCTTTTCTTTGAGGTAAGGAGACTCTGCTTAAACAGTTACTGTAATGAGGGGAGGAGGACTGTTGGAACAGGAAGAGCGCTCTGACCACAGGCCATAAGATCCGCAAGTATCTCGTAATCTGGTAACTTCAACATGGTGTGAGAAGTACTGCACCGGCACACGTGTAGAAAGAGGTCAAGGACAGAGACGAGGGAACAGCTAATTCTGCCGGTAGAGCAAGGGACAGAGCAATGGGAACAAGTGAATCGGGTCTTGAAAAGCGAGCAGCTGTCCCCCGAGTTAACAGAGGCTGACACTCACTGTGACAGGTGCCACGTGCCCGTTATGCTAGCGCTTTCCAGGCATGACCTCGTTTACTCCCCATCAAACTCCAAGTTGGGTATCAGTACATCTCTGCTAAACTTTGACTACAGGGTCTTCCAAGTAAAGCAAAAGACACCGAAGCAGGAAGACGCAGCTTTGGGAGCAGGTTGGGGGGGGGCACACTGGAGCTGCAGAGCCTGAGATTTCCCTGTCAAGGCTCTTCTTTAGACAAGGCTTCCTGAGCTGTTCACTCCAAAGGAATAATGGGCACACTGTTCCTTCAAGTATCTACTCCAGCATCTTCTACGTGCCAGGCATGGAACTAAGTGCCAAGGCTACAACCCTGGGCAGAACAGCAGTGGCTCCTACTATCGTGGAGCTTACACTCTGGTAGGGGAGACAGGCCAATTCCATCCCAGTGTGGTGAAGAGGAAGGAGAAGGTGCTGGGCGCAACTCCTGAACCTGCAGGATGAAGGGGGGGCTTACTTGAGGACCAAAGACATGAGGAAGAGTTAGTCAGATGAAAAACATTCTAGGACAGGAAACTTCACTGCAAAAGTGAGGCAGGCAGATACAGCACGGCACGTCTGAGGAACCCGAAGTCCTCCAGTCTGGGGAGAGGGTAAGGAGTGTGGGTGGTAGCAAGGGCCAAGCCTACGATGAGTTACACTGAACAGGGGTCAGGTCTTGGAAAGCCTCTTATAAGCGCTTTGTGAGTGTTACTTTTATTGACCTTGAGATCACAAGATGGGCACTTAAGGGTTTCAAGTGGACTAGGTGGTGACCTGCTCACATTTGCTTTTTAGGAAAACTGCTCTGCTTGCAGCATGGAACAGGAACCCAGTGAAGGTTCTGCCTGTCACCTACAGAAGAGGTGACAGTGGCACAGCCAGGGAAGGAGCAGCAGGGATGCTGACCAGGGGACAGACTCCAGCGATATTTAGGGGGTGGAAAAAAATGGAGTTAGTGTGTGACTGACTGTGAGGAGTCTGGGAAGACAAGAGATTTCCGGCTTGAGTAAGTTGGGAGTGTGTTGCTGTGGGTCCCCGACATGGGGAGCCCAAGACGATGGCCAGACCTGGAGATCATGCGTTAATTCGGTACCTCAGTCACAGAATTTATTTAGAGTTTATCCCCCTCCTCTTTTTGCCAAAAGCTTCCCAGTTTATTAACGAACTTCCACAAAAGGAGAAGCGGGGTTCTACCTTGGCACCGTTCCCTGCCTAGGGCCCCGCCTCTCCCACTAACGCACCCCGAGCCCAAGCTGCGCGGCCCCTGGCCAGCGCCCCCCGGGGGTTACCTCGAGCTCAGGGTAGCTAAGCACCACCAGGGACGCGCAGGCGCCAACACTGTCGCCCTTCACAAAGGACACGTCCACGCCCCCGACCCTCTGCAGGCCCGAGAAGGCGGGGTCCCGCTGCCACGCCTCCGTGTCCCGGTCCACGACAAGGGCCTTCAGCCGGGCTTGCTCCCTGAGGACAAACACGCGTCCAGGCCCGGGAGTCAGTCAGGGCTCTTCC